GACGTGTTTCATTCCTGTGTCAACGCTGTAAATGCTTCACTGACGTGTTTCATTCCTGTGTCAACGCTGTAAATGCTTCACTGACGTGTTTCATTCCTGTGTCAACGCTGTAAATGCTTCACTGACGTGTTTCATTCCTGTGTCAACGCTGTAAATGCTTCACTGACGTGTTTCATTCCTGTGTCAACGCTGTAAATGCTTCGCCCACGTAACTCAATTACAAATAATTGGCAACAGAATGTAAATACCTAACTTCAGCCTAACTTGAGCCTAACTATGCGCCAAATTCTAATATATAATAATATTAAATGAACAAATCCACAAGGACCGTGACGGGGATTCGAACCTGCGTCCGGGAGCATCCCAGACACTGCCTTAATCGACTGAGCAATTGCTCTGTGTGTGTGAGACATACTAATATTAATTTATATCTGAGACAATCAAGTTTGTTAATTACGGACATTACGTTACAACTAAGAGCGACGGTCTGGCTTCATGCAGGTCGGCGTTCAATCCCCGACCGTCCATACAAGTGGTTGGGGCACCATTCCTTTCCCTCCGTCCCATCCCAAATCCTTATAACCTGACCCCTTCCCAGTGCTATATAGTCGTAATGGCTTGGCGCTTTCTCTTCATACTTTCCTTCCTTAAGGAGATTAGCCTGAGGACGGATTTGGGCTTTGGTTCATCGCCACCCCCCCCCCCCCACTTGGGCTGGACGGTAGAGCGACGGTCTCGCTTCATGCAGGTCGACGTTCAATCCCCGACCGTCCATACAAGTGGTTGGGGCACCATTCCTTTCCCTCCGTCCCATCCCAAATCCTTATAACCTGACCCCTTCCCAGTGCTATATAGTCGTAATGGCTTGGCGCTTTCCCCTTGATCATTCCTTCCTTCCTTCCTTCCTATGTTTTATACTGTGTATTGATATCCTTTATCATTTGGTATTACTTATTGGGGCAATTATATGATTTGAATTTTTCTTTTAAGTTTTATGAATAATGACAACATGATTTTTTTAAGTAAGTTCTTTTTTTAGCCCATAATGGAAGATGGAAGCACTTTTGGAATGATTTTGTGGTGTTATAACTGTTATTATTATATGTATTATTGGGTTTTATTGTATTTATTATCTTTATCAACGTTATCTATGTCTTTATCATCATAGCAGCTACCAGTACTCTGACTACCACCACCACCAACACTACCATCCCCCCTAATAACACCATCATCACCACCATCACCATCACCACCATCATCACTGTCCCAGTCACTACAATTGCCAGCATCACTCTTTTCGTGTCCCCCCCCCCCTCACTCTCTCACTCTCAGTTCCCTCTCTCCCCCCATTTCAAACCCTTCTCATCCACTCTTTGCAATTCGCTATCATAACTACCCATCCAACTGACTTCCACCCTTTCTCTACATCCTTAACCACTAAGAGTTTGAGGTTTGAAGCACTTCCTAAACCACAATGTTATATTTACGTTGCGAAGACATTGCAACAACGTTCAAAAAGTTTAACATTCGAAAACGTTTTAACAACGTGCGAAAACAGCGTATAGTTACGTAATGTATTATATAGGACTCAGGAGGGTAGAAATAGCCTAAGCTACTCTATCCCTTTGAGATGTATTTATTGCTTATCTCAATAAACATACTTGAACTTGAACTTGAATAGGACCCCTACGATCACCCATAACTAACATGTTGTCCTATTCAGCAAACTATCACCCCCCCCCCACACCCATTACTAATACTAACCCCCCCTACCTCCCTGCCCCCCCCTACAGTGCGCAGTTCCGACCGGGGGCTAACGATATCATTAGCAACACTGCGCCCACGCCCACGGTGCGCATGCGCATCTACAAAGCCAATGGGGAGGAAGCGAACAACGTCAACCTTGGGGAGCTGCTGACCCTGAAGATTGAGATGGAGCAGTCGTCAGCCTTCGCTATTTTTGCTAGGAACCTGGAGGCGAGGACGGACAACGGAGAGTTGATGACCCTTGTTGACAATATTGGGTGAGTAACTTGAGGTTATCTTGAGATGATTTCGGGGCTTTAGTGTCCCCCGTGGCCCGGTCCTCGGCTAGGCCTTCACCCCCAGGAAGCAGCCCGTGACAGCTGACTAACAGCTGAGTAGCTTAGGGTAAGGAGGAAATGTATATGTTTATCTCTCAGAATGTTTGGTAATATGTTTATTGTTTGTGATGTGTGTCTATGTATGTATTAACACGATGTACTGAACGGGGTGAGAATAGCTTGAGCTACCTCATCCCTTTGTGTGTATTTTACTTCAATAAACTTATTTCAATTTCAATTTCAATTTCAATTGGGGTAAGGGGAGGAGGAAGGGATAGAGAGGGAAAGAGATTTAAAGGATAGCAAGCATAGGTGTAGGGTGAATAAGAGAGTAGGAGAAAGTGAATGAGTGAAAGAGAGGGGGAGTACAGTTAAAGACAAATTATGAGACAGTCGGACATCACCTATGTTGACCAGACCACACACTTGAAGGTGAAGGGACGACGACGTTTCGGTCCGTCCTGGATCATTCTCAAGTCGATTCTCACAATCGACTTGAGAATGGTCCAGGACGGACCGAAACGTCGTCGTCCCTTCACCTTCTAGTGTGTGGTCTGGTTAACATTCTTCAGCCACGTTATTGTGACTCCTCGCCCGAACATCACCTAGATGTGTAGCATCACCGTATCTGTCTCTCCCTGCGACAGGTGCCCGCGGTACCCGTCCATATTCCCGGAGCTACAACTGGAGGAGAGGACTAAGAGCCTCTACGGGGACTTCAAGGCCTTCAGGTTTCCCTCTACTGCCCGCGTCAACTTCGTGGCTACCGTCAGGTTCTGTCAGGACCGCTGTGATCCGGTATGTCTTGTGTGTGAGATTGGTCACGGCATCAACTTACGAAGCCTGTACATCTCTCAACAATCAACGCGGCTTTGTTTTCATTTATTAAATAATTTACAAGCTTAACAACTTCACATCTCAAGGTTTTAATTGTTATAAACAATTCGTAGTGCTTTGCAGGTCATAAACTGTTTAATAAATCTAAACAAAACTGCCATGATTGGTTGAAAGATGTTCAGGTTTCGTAAATGGATACGTGAATTAGCTCCTGGCCCCGCCTTCCCAAGTTTCTCTTATCTATATTAAAGTTGGCATTAGGTTGTTTCCACCATTATTTAAGCCTTTGTTGTGTTGTTTATGAGTGCAATATTGCGTCTGTTTTGCCTCACGGGAGACATCTCCCGTCACGCAGGGTGCAGTCGCACCTCCACAGATCTCCAGTATCAGCTCTTGATACTGGTAATGGCTCAAAAGGGCCACCACTTACGGGCTATTCATGCCCGTGCCACCTTTTGGGAGGCTTAATCTTCATCAATCAATCAATCGTTTTGCCAGGTCCCGTGTGGCTCAGGCGTTGTGTCGTACGGTCGCCGTCGCCGCCGCCGCCGTACTGCGGTGAACACGACCGAGAACCACGAAGACGTCGACGAAGTAGAAGATGAGGGGCAGACTACACACATCGAACTCTCCACAGATGGTACGCTTGAGAACACCTTCACCTTCAGCGTGGAACCCTTCGAGGTCTCAGAGGAGACGTTACCGCCGGTGACTACCAGGTGAGTTACAGGTCCCGTGTGATTTACCTAGATTAGGGTAATCTAGATTTACCTAGATTAGGGTAAAGAGTTAGGAGTAAGATGTTACAGTAAGTGATTAGGGTAAGGTGTTAGAGTAAGAGATTAGGGCCGACGTAAAAGTTTATACCCTGGAAACACAAACCGAAATTGTCTCTATTTTCCGCTTGTTACAACTTGTAATAAAGTTGTTACATCTTGACTTAACGTGTTTATGACGTATTAGAACGTTGTTACAACTTGCTATATTGGTTGTTATAACTTGTTAGGTGTTAAAACGTGTTCGAACGTTGTACCAACGTCGTAGTTTCGGTGTGTGTTTGGCGGGTAGTGAGGAATGGTGAGATAGGGTAATCTACCAATCGAGCTAGTTAAGCCAATCTACAAAATTTGTGAAAGAGATTGCGTCTACCTAAACAAAATCAATTCAACCACACACAACTCCCAGTGGTTTTCAACTATGTCATCAACGACCCTTTCAGAACGACCAAACGTTCCCTGAGCACCACCAAACGTTCTGTAAACACCACTACCACTACCACCAGCACCACCACCACCGGTTCTACCAGAACGACCACCCCTACCACCACCACCACAGAAGGAACGACAACCAAAGAGGATATTAATCCTGCTGAAATGCCAAGTGATATTCCTGTTGCTCTCTCGGTAAGAATTCTTTATTAATCCTATTATGATGATCATTTTTGATGATTAATGATGATATTATAATCAACTGGAACTGAGGTTCGAGTCACTTCACAACTCAAGTTGATGTACTTATTATTATTATAAGATTTTGTCCTTAGAGTTTTGTAAATAATTTTATCTTTCCTAAAGTTTGCTATTGGAGGAGAAGGGAAGGTATGAATTATGTTATTTAGAATTACTCTGCATGTGTTGATTTTACTGGTGTTGTTAGCAGGTGTTGATGTGTGTGTGTTGCTACTGGTACTGGTGTTGTAGCAGGTGTTGATGTGTGTGTGTTGCTACTGGTACTGGTGTTGTAGCAGGTGTTGATGTGTGTGTGTTGCTACTGGTACTGGTGTTGTAGCAGGTGTTGATGTGTGTTGCTACTGGTACAGGTGTTGTAGCAGGTGTTGATGTGTGTGTGTTGCTACTGGTACAGGTGTTGTAGCAGGTGTTGATGTGTGTGTGTTGCTACTGGTACTGGTGTTGTAGCAGGTGTTGATGTGTGTATTGCTACTGGTACTGGTGTTGTTAGCAGGTGTTGATGTGTGTGTGTTGCTACTGGTACTGGTGTTGTAGGAGGTGTTGATGTGTGTTGCTACTGGTACAGGTGTTGTAGCAGGTGTTGATGTGTGTGTGTTGCTACTGGTACAGGTGTTGTAGCAGGTGTTGATGTGTGTGTGTTGCTACTGGTACAGGTGTTGTAGCAGGTGTTGATGTGTGTGTTGCTACTGGTACTGGTGTTGTAGCATGTGTTGATGTGTGTGTGTTGCTACTGGTACAGGTGTTGTAGCAGGTGTTGATGTGTGTGTGTTGCTACTGGTACAGGTGTTGTAGCAGGTGTTGATGTGTGTGTTGCTACTGGTACAGGTGTTGTAGCAGGTGTTGATGTGTGTGTGTTGCTACTGGTACTGGTGTTGTAGCAGGTGTTGATGTGTGTGTGTTGCTACTGGTACAGGTGTTGTAGCAGGTGTTGATGTGTTGCTACTGGTGTTGTAGCAGGTGTTGATGTGTTGCTACTGGTACAGGTGTTGTAGCAGGTGTTGATGTGTGTGTGTTGCTACTGGTACAGGTGTTGTAGCAGGTGTTGATGTCACTGTTGTATAAAATGTTGCAATATAGCTATAGTTACTTATGCACGATCCTGCAATTTAATTTCTGTTTGTTTTGCAATCACGTTGCATGTGGTTTGATATTGCAATCCGTAATTTAAACAATAATTATTCTATCATTGCATTTAAATATATATGTTGTTCGTACTGTTATTTTTATTATTGTTGTTGTTGTTGTTTGTCGTTGATGCAACAATGTCGTTGAGTCATATTTCTTCTTCTAATCTTATTGTCACTAACAAGAACTGTCGATACGCATTACTCTACCACACTGCTACAATCATTCTACTGCATCTACCTCTACTTCTTCTTCTTCTACTGCTTGTAACAATACTATTTTCACTACTCTTACGTGATTGCAAACTTGAATTAAACGTGTTTGATGGGTTTTTGCTGCAACTACTTCGCCTTCATAAACAACTAGTCAATACTACCAATAACAGCTGGTTGGATACTACACACAGAAATCACAATAGCGTGATGTATCAAATGAACAAATCCACAAGGGCCGTGACGAGGATTCGAACCTGCGTCCGGGAGCATCCCAGATGCTGCCTGACTGAGCTACGACATGGTCAAAAGAGTTGACGAATCCGCGTCACAGCCCGTGTGGATTTGTTCAGTTGGATACTACTCTTATTTCTCCTCTATTTTAATGGCTTTTAACTGTGGCGTCTTGTGCCTGACTAAGCTACGACATGGTCAAAAGAGTTGACGAATCCACGTCACAGCCCGTGTGGATTGGTTCAGTTGGATACTACTCTTATTTCTCCTCTATTTTAATGGCTTTTAACTGTGGCGTCTTGTGCCTGACTGAGCTACGACATGGTCAAAAGAGGTGACGAATCCGCGTCACGGCCCGTGTGGATTGGTTCAGTTGGATGCTACTCTTATTTCTCTATATAAATTGGTTTTAACTGTGGCGTCTTGTGTTGACAGCTGGTGGTGGGAGAGGACACCATGCCTGAGGGTTGGGATGACCGCCACAGACACCGGTATAGAGATGGTGAGTCTATATATCTACCATATACTCACATAGTCTTGAGTAAGGAGTCGTCCAGGACCTTGTATACCTCTTGTGAATACCACAGTGGTGGGTGTTGTGTGTGTGTGTGTGTGTGTGTGTGTGTGTGTGTGTGTGTGTGTGTGTGTGTGTGTGTGTGTGTGTGTGTACTCACCTAGTTGTGCTTGCGGGGGTCGAGCTCTGGCTCTTTGGTCCCGCCTCTCAACCGTCAATCAACTGGTGTACAGGTTCCTGAGCCTATTGGGCTCTATCATATCTACACTTGAAACTGTGTATGGAGTCAGCCTCCACCACATCACTTCCTAATGCATTCCATTTGTCAACCACTCTGACACTAAAAAAGTTCTTTCTGTGTGTGTGTGTGTGTGTGTGTGTGTGTGTGTGTGTGTGTGTGTGTGTGTGTGTGTGTGTGTGTGTGTGTGTAGGTTGGTGGAAAGTTCCGTCTAGTTACAGTATTTGTCCAATTAACATAAAAAATTCAATCATAATTTGTATAAAATTATTTTTCATTGTTTTTAGAATAGATTGTTCTAGGATCAACTCATTATATAATCAGGAACAATGCTTCCTTATACATATACATATTTGTATACATAAGGGAGCAAATGTTCCCGTTGAAGGTTATCTTGAGATGATTTCATGGCTTTAGTGTCCCCGCGGCCCGGTCCTCGACCAGGCCTCCACCCCCAGGAAGCAGCCCGTGACCGCTGACTAACACCCAGGTACCTAACAGGGGCATAGGGTGAAAGAAACTCTGCCTATTGTTTCTCGCCGGCGCCTGGGATCGAACCCGGGACCACAGGGTCACAAGTCCAGTGTGCTGTCCGCTCGGCCGACCGTTAGGAAGAATATATTCCCATACATTTATTCCCTCCTCATGTCAGTATTCACATACATCTCCACAGCAAGCATGTATTAACTGTTCACAGAGACCTACGTCGCGGACGACTACGTGTGCACACCGACCTCGACGGTGGTCGCCGCGGTACTGACGCTCCTCGTCCTCCTGTGCGCGGGGTCGGTTGGCTTCGTTTTCTTTTACCGCACCAAGAAGCGCCATTGGCAGAAAATGGGAAGCTGCGAGCCCTTTCCCTTACCTCCACAGGTATAACTACTCAATAGTTCATTTATGTATATATATGTATATAAATTGTATATAAATTGTATATATGTTGAATTAGTTAAGAAACCAGTGAAACTGTCTTTGAGGGCGCAGAATATATATTTTATGGGTGGAAATGAGTAATAATTAGATTATAATCGATATTTTTAATAAATATATAGTGCAAATCTATCATTTTGTTCAACTAAAAAATTATAAATAATTTTAATTATCGCTTTTTTGCTCTGATTTATGGGTTTTAAGCGGGACTATTATACAATTTAAGCCAGTTTATTAATGACACTTCATTAGTGACAGTCATTTGTTTCTGTTCTACGCTTGAGTGACAGTTTTTGGTTTCTTATCTAGCACTTAAGCGCTTGCAGCATACTAACTCATTCAACAACCCGTTCTCGCACTTTCTTATAGTCAATATTGACTTATTAAATACGTGCATATGTGACATACTAATTTATTGTGAATATTTTAGTTTACCTTGTAAAGCTTCATAGAAAACACCGACCTTACCTAACCTTCTTAGTATGTTAAGATAAGCATCTTATTGCTTCATAATTACAATTATTACTTAACCTATACCTATAATAGGTTAAGTAATAATTGTATACCTATAATTGTATACCTATATACCTATAATAGGTTAAGTAATAATTGTAATTACGAAGCAATAAGATGCTTATCTTAACATACTAAGAAGGTTAGGTAAGGTCGGTGTTTTGTATGAAGCTTTTCAAGGTAAACTAAAATATTCACAATAAATTAGTATGTCACATATGCACTTATTTAATAAGTCAATATTGACTTAAAGAAAGTGCGAGAACGGGTTGCATTCAACCGCTTCCGTAAATTAAGATTTGTGCTTCCTTCCATCTAAAGTTGATCGATCAATTAAAATTTCTATTCGAATCGAGTAAAAATGAAGGTTTGTAGAAAACAATATACAAGGACACACATTGGGTCCACAATGGCTCCCTTGAATGTCATTTCTTTTCTTCACCGAGGCTTTGGGACCTCACAAATCCAACCACAGGTGGTACCGATAGATAAAAGACATTTTAATTGATCGATATTTTAACTAGTAGATGTTTGAACCCTATCACTGTAAATATGTAAGCAAACTGCTATCATTCTATATATGTAAGTAAACTCTGCTATCATTCTTTATATGTAAGCCAACGCTGCTATCACCCTTTACAAATATAGACCAACACTGTCCTCACTGTATATATATATATAGGCCTATTGCGCCTATATCCCCACCAAGGAGACATTAACTAGATCAATGGATAGGATATATATATATATATAGTGTAGTTAGGCCTCCTGGACCATACAGAGTATACCTCGGCCAGCTGAATCATACATAGTATACCTGGCTCTTCATATCTCTAACATCCCCTTGAGGATACACTATCCTGTTAGGTACTGGATAGTTTACCATAAAAAATAGTAATTGGTAAACTTAAGTAGTCGAGCAGAACGATGGGAATAAACAGTAGTTTACAGCCACTAGACATAAACACATTACAGTCGTGTCTTGATGAGATTATTGTTATTTGATGTAATAACTTGTTTTTATGTTAGTTTACCCGAAAATTATTTGTGTTAAGTATGTTCTTCTCTCTCAGCACAAGTGAGAACCTTTCCACTAGAACCAGCTGCTGCAGTGGTGTCGCCGGAACCCTCCCAACCCCCCACCTGCTCCAGTGGTGTGGCCGGAACCCCCCCCCAACCCCCCACCTGCTCCAGTGGTGTGCCCGGAACTGGCCGCAACCCCCCACCTGCTCCAGTGGTGTGGCCGGAACCCTCCCAACCCCCCACCTGCTCCAGTGGTGTGCCCGGAACCCTCCCAACCCCCCACCTGCTCCAGTGGTGTCGCCGGAACCCTCCCAACCCCCCACCTGCTCCAGTGGTGTGCCCGGAACCCCCCCCAACCCCCCACCTGCTCCAGTGGTGTGGCCGGAACCCCCCCCCCAACCCCCCACCTGCTCCAGTGGTGTGGCCGGAACCCCCCCCCCAACCCCCCACCTGCTCCAGTGGTGTGGCCGGAAACCCCCCCCCCCAACCTGCTCCAGTGGTGTGGCCGGAACCCCCCCCCCAACCCCCCACCTGCTCCAGGGGTGCAGCCGGAACCCCCTCCAACCTCCAGTGGTGTAACCTAAAACCCTATTCTTATAGGGCATTTCAAGGCTTTATTTAACCTAACCTGACTAACCTGGGGATTTCCAGGATCTGGCATGAGATTACAAACACGAGGATGCTTGCTACCCACCACAACAGCCACCTAAATTGTCCGCGAAAACAAAAATCCTTTGATTCTCAGCCTTCTTCTTCAAGTCAGAGCGGTTGGGCTCAGTTCCTCTGGCCTCCTTGGAATCGAATCCCTTTCAAGACAGTTTTTAGTGTCTCGTATATATACTTCAAGACCTTTAACGTGCCAGAATGATTCAGATGTGAAGTTTGAGATCTAAGTGAGCGGTGGAGATGGAAATTAGTGGCTTGACTAATATATATAATGTGCATCTGACTTTGTTCGCTTTTGTTCAACCTCTGTTCTACTAGCCTGTTCAACTAGCCTCTTTTCTGCTAGCTTCTATTACCTTTATACTCTCCTAAATATTAATTTCTCACTTATTAGGCTCTTCCAGTTCAACCCATCCTGCAGTTTTCTAACCTTGAGCCCACAAATCTAAGACCCCTTCAGTGTTCTCTAAGATCCCTCACTATTTTCTAAGACCCCTCGCTGTTTTCTAAGACCCCTCACTATTTTCTAAGACCCCTCGCTGTTTTCTAAGACCCCTCACTATTTTCTAAGACCCCTCGCTGTTTTCTAAGACACTTCACTGTTTTCTAAAGACCTAGAGGGCAGCCAGTCTCGTTTTGTCATTGTATCAGTCGAATCTGGCCACATCACTCCTCCAGTCTTCAAGCTTCATCATACCCATGCCCCAGCTCCCTGCATACCCATGCCCCAGCTCCATACATACCCATGCCCCAGCTCCTAGCATACCCATGTCCCAGCTCCTAGCATACCCATGCCCCAGCTCCCTGCATACCCATGCTCCAGCTCCCTGCATACCCATGTCCCAGCTCCTAGCATACCCATGCCCCAGCTCCCTGCATACCCATGCCCCAGCTCCCTGCATACAGTATTCAGTATTCCCTATTGCACTGCCCCCTATTGTATATACAAGCTGTATGTCTGTCACCTTAGTGTATAATCTGAATGTATTGTATATTATTTCTCGCTTTTTGTTAAATAAAATACACTAATCCCCACTGAAGAAAAGTCTTTGTATATATAGACGCGGAAATTTCTTGCAATTAAACCCGTCCTCTCTATTTGGCTCTCCGTAAAAAAATGCGACTGTTTTGCCTAACCAGAAAACGTACAAACCCATGCAACCCCCCTAACCTATTGACAAGGTTATATTTGTCTTACTCATGTATTGTGTTTTTAACGGATTGGTCGGTTACGTAAAGAAAATGAGACCCATTTGGCAAGAGGACGGGTTATTGTACATCATTCACTACCCGCCAAACACACACCGAAACTACGACGTTGGTACAACGTTCGAGCAAGTTTTAACACCTCCTAACCAGTTATAACAACCAATATAGCAAGTTGTAACAACGTTCTAATACGTCATAAACACGTTAAGTCAAGTAACAACTTTATTACAAGTTGTAACAAGCGGAAAATAGAGACAGTTTCGGTTTGTGTTTCCAGGGTAGTAAGAGGAAGTAGCATTGAAATTACTTTGGATAAATAATGCAATATCATATACAAAGCTACAGTATTGAAATGATATATTATTTGCTGATGCCATCAACACAATGCGCCAGACTTGATGTGACGTCACGAATGTCAACAATGGTCAGCTGATTGTGACTTTCTCTCCCCCTCAACACAGCTGATCTTTGTTGACATTAATTACGTTGTCATTTCCCGTTAAATAACGCAGTATGCAGCTGATGCCACCGTATGATACGTTGCCAAATATTTATCCAAAACTTTTAAAACTTTTGCTAATGCTGAACATCTGTAGCACAGAGCAATGATGTGAATGTCTCTGTGTGCTTTCGTACCTTTTTCACCTGTGTTGAAAAACACGAAAGCGCTCAGACATATTGCTTTCTTTGTGGTTATATATATATATATATTATACTAATAAGAAGAGATATCAACCAACAGACACAAGTTAAAACACAAAACGTAAGTAGTAATCTTTCGTTGACATTTAGAGACAAGGAGCTTAGCTGTCAAGTTAAGTACTGGTTTAAGGTATAGAGTTAGGTATTGGGCTTCAAGTTCAAGTTCAAGTATGTTTATTGAGACAAGAAAAAATACATCTCAAAGGGATAGAGTAGCTTAGGTTATTTCTACCCCCCCCCCCCCCGGTATTGGGCTTAAGGCCTACGAGCCACGGGAGGGGGGGGGGGTTATAATAGCCTATCAAGTTTGGGAAGGTCATTAATTAGGCCCATCAACCTTCGAAGAATTGTTGAGGCCTATCAACCTTTGCAGGGTTATTAAGGCCTATATATATTAACCTCTGGAGGGATATTAAGGCCTATATATATATATATATATATATATATATATATATATATATATATATATATATATATATATAACCTCTGGAGGGTTATTAAGGCCTATATATATATATATATATATATATATATATATATATATATATATATATATATATATATATATATATATTAACCTCTGGAGGATTATCAAGACGACAACAGCCGTTTACTGACAAACTGGCAAGAATAATTTAGTCCTGAACATTGTCTAGGACTAAACACTATTATGACATTTATGATATGCTGCTATAAAATCCCTATCACTGATATGATACCTATAATATCATTGATATCAATGGTATTACTCTCAATAAATTTAGAACATAGTTATGAACTCAAAATATCCTTGTATAAAATGTTGCAATTCTGTAGTCAGTAAACTTTGGGTTAATATTGGTTTTCCAATAAGAATAAAATTTATTGATTGATTGATTTATTTATTTATTTATTTATTTATTTATAGATAAGAAGGTTCAATGGGTTTTGAAATTACTCATGTGAGTAATTTGTGCTTTCTTGCCACTGGGAGCCGGTCGGCCGAGCGGACAGCACGCTGGACTTGTGATCCTGTGGTCCTGGGTTCGATCCCAGGCACCGGCGAGAAACAATGGGCAGAGTTTCTTTCACCCTATGCCCCTGTTACCTAGCAGTAAAATAGGTACCTGGGTGTTAGTCAGCTGTCACGGGCTGCTTCCTGGGGGGTGGAGGCCTGGTCGAGGACCGGGCCGCGGGGACACTAAAGCCCCGAAATCATCTCAAGATAACCTCAAGATAACTAACACACATAGGCCTATTGGCCTATACGCTGCAGCTTCTATTTATTTCTATATATTTTAGCAATATAAATTAAACCAAAAATTCTCCATAAATTATGTAAACAAATCCCTTAACCGTATTTAATATCGGAAATAAGAATAGAAAACGTGATTTAGTTAAATTAACAGAATATTAATGTAGGGATAACTAAACTAGATATGGGAAAATACTGATGTTATATATTGGGATTGAACCCGATCCCCTTGGGCACTCCAGAACGGCTTGCTTAATCAATTATTCATAAATGGAAATACCATTTGAACAGATCCAAAGACAATCTGAACGCCGCATCTAAAAAAAGGTATATCTATGCGGGCGATGAGTCACAATAACGTGGCTGAAGTATGTTGACCAGACCACACACTCGAAGGTGAAGGGACGACGACGTTTCGGTCCGTCCTGGACCATTCTCAAGTCGATTGTGAGAATGGTCCAGGACGGACCGAAACGTCGTCGTCCCTTTACCTTCTAGTGTGTGGTCTGGTCAACAAGGTATATCTATATATATATATAAATTCTAACGCCAATTCCCTCTACACCACCAGCCCAAAACCCAGTTCTTCAACAGCCCTGAGGTGATGTTCAGGGCAGCTTATGGGGGCTTCCCCGGCCAGTCCAACCTAGCCTCAAACATGGCGGCTTTCACCACTGCGCAAGCGATCTCCCCCATGCACGAAGACGCCCCTCAGTATAAGGAATAGGTGTGGCTTGGAGGAGGATGCGGCCAGAACGCTGATGGTCCAACCGCATGGGGCCATTGGGGAATCGAGCAGCGATCCTGCATGAAAAGAGAGATCGTCGCTCTACTGACCAACGTATCTTCTTTGGACGCGAGTGTGTGTGTGTGTGTGACAAGTGTGTGTGTGTGTGTGTGTGTGTGTGTGTGTGTGTGTGTGTGTGTGTGTGTGTGTGTGTGTGTGTGTGTGTGTGACAAGTGTGTGTGTGTGACAAGTGTGTGTGTGTGTGTGTGTGTGTGTGTGTGTGTGTGTGTGTGTGTGTGTGTGTGTGTGTGTGTGTGTGTGTGTGTGTGTGTGTGTGTGTAGTATGAGTAAATGATAATATTGTTTGAAATTGGAAAAATATGAAAATTTTGTGAGAGAAAAAATGAAAAAAAATGAATAGAAAGGTGAGTCACAACGTACACAAGGCAGTTTGACAGCATAATTTTAAACCTAATTAACCATAACCTAACCTACCCTAACCCAACCCAAACCAGCCTAACCTAACCCAACCGAGTTTAACACAGCCTAATACATCCAAACTAAACAACATATAAATATATATATACGGTTTTGACACTCAGAAAACGAGCTTTGTCGAACCTGTCTTGTGTACGATTTGACTCTATCCCAGTTTATTGTACACAACAGAAAACGGACATCGCTGAATCGTTTAAAGGGGGAACTTGCTCGAAACATTTCTGTTGTTAAATAAAACGGACACAAAAGATCTTTTCTATTTATACTAAATAATATATCTAATAAATCTTCAATATTTTTAAATAGCTGCATATCTCTAGTGAATAATTTTCATACAAATTAATACAAGGTTATACACAGAACGTTCAAATATAAATATATTTTTGACATTCAATTTGACTCGTGATAAAGTAAGCCTCTGAAGAGTCCTGCATTCACTTCCCCCAAACAATGAATAGAGCTCCAAAAATCGGGCTCACCATAGCCCGTGCTACTTGGAACTTTTTCTTCCAGGTAGCAAATCTTAAACAACAACTCTACGAACTTCTCCCAAATACAGAAATAACTAAACTTTTGATCAATCTACCTTACCTTGAGGTTACCTTGAGGTGCTTCCGGGGCTTAGCGTCCCCGCGGCCCGGTCATCTAATCCACGGAAAAAAAAATTATGCATGTAATTAACTCGTATAAATATTACCGCCAGATTATCCTCCCCCCCCCCCTGTAGGCCTACGATATCCCCCTATAGGCCTATGATACCCAGCCTAAAGGCCTAGGAGGCATACCACAGCCCTATTGCAGCTTCTACAATGGACTCCCCCCCCCCCCACACCGTCTATAAAGATATATGCACGAAAGATATCAAAATTAACAGTAATATTATGTTAAGATAATTTTAAGCCATAGATAACCTTTATCGTATATTGAACCTGTAGGGTCATCTAAGGACAGCCATGAAACACATATACACGAGATATAACACATATGAACATTCTAGAACCCCTTTGAACACTCACGGAGACAGTTGAAGTAGATTGATTCATTGATGGAGATTAAACCACACAAGATGAATGGCCCAAGTGACAGTTAATTGGTTAATTTAGAATACATATGTAGATAAATTACATGTAAAAGGTAAATATGAAGAGAATCTATGTAATTATTTTATTCCTGATAGTTATTCCCAATTACTTTTGTTATTTGAAGCATTATACTTATTTTATATTTTTATCTATAGAAGCATATTCAATTTATATTAAGCATCTTTGGTTGTAAATTTATTATAAGATTAGAGATATAATTCCTTGTTCAGGGCTTAGGGTATTCAAGTCAAGACTTGCAATCAGTACTCGATTGATGAAGATTGATTGATTGATGAAGATTAAGCCACCCAAGAGGTGGCACGGGCATGAATAGCCCGTAAGTGGTGGCCCTTTCGAGCCATTACCAGTATCAAAAGATGATACTGGAGATCTGTGGAGGCGCAACTGCACCCTGCGTGACGGGAGATGTCTCCCGGACCAAGTGGTGACCAAATGGTGAATCAGTACTCGTCAAGGCATTTATGCAACCCATATGCGAAACCAGTGCATCTTCCCTTGATCTTGGCGGCTTTCTTCACACTTACTAAACAGTTTATGAGCGCTGAAGCACTACGAGGCTGTTTATAACAATAATAACTTTGGGGGGTTGTGAAGGTTCCAAGTTTCGAAGCTGTTTAAAAAATGTAAACAAAGCCGCCATGATTGATGAAAGATGTAGAGGTTTCGTAGGGTGAATTGTCAATGAATCAAAGCCCGGGCTCTGTAAACGGACGAGACTGGTTGTAAACTGGTAGACGGGTTGTGTTCCAGGGGAAATTATAGTAAGGGGTAAGATAAAGAAATGTTATTCACATACATAATCAAGTTACGGGCTCACCATAGCCCGTGCTACTTGGAACTTTGTTCCAGGTAGTGAATCTTTAACAACAACAAATACACTTCCTAATTCAGCCAATCAAGAGCAACCCGTTCTCTCAATTCGCCAATCCGTGAAAAATACCACTGTTTCACCTAATCAAAGACCAATGATTAGGTTAAACCTAATCATTGGTCTTTGCTCCCACCTAACCAATCGCGGCCAATGCATAGAAAACGTTAATATCACGGTGCTTTAATATTCTGCTAACACATCGCCTTCTTAACGTATCGGTCGATTCCGTCCCAAATACGTCGTATTATGTGAAACAACTCACTGCTATAGCAGCCTTCACCAGAATGCTCGTCATAGGTTTAGCAAACTATTACTACTTGCATTAGCTATTAATTTTAAGTGGCATTTGGACGGTCTTTTGAAGATCCGTTGTTGATTCAAAACTGTAGCTCAGATATTATATATATATATATATATATATATATATATATATATATATATATATATATATATATATATATATATATATATATATATATATATATATATATTGTGATGTAGATCTATTCATCTACAATAGATCTACAATACAATCTATTGGTGATTGTAATAGGTCTACAATCACCATTCGTAGCTATAATTACTTCATATATTTTTAATATAAGATGCTTGTTGAATTTAAGATATTTTTTTTTAATTTAGAAACCTTTTAAATTCAGAAACCTTCTTAAGTTTAAGAAATCTTTGTAATTTAAGAAGGTTTTTAATTTTGAAACCATTTTAGTTAAGAATTTTAAATATAGAATTTTTTTAATTCAGAAATCCATATAATTTAGAAACTTTTCTAATATAAGAGTTTTCTCCTAAATAATTATAGGAATATTATATAATATAAATATCTTTGAATATAATTTTTGTATTTTACATAAGAGAACATATATGTTAATCAAACTTAAAAAAAAAAATTAAATTTAAAAATAAACCCACGAATTAAATATAATTTGTGCCTTTCATCTCAGAGAATTTGCAAAAATATATATATACTCTATATAAGTATATATAAAATATATTTAATATATAAAAATATAATCAATTAGCTTCATATACGACTCATTTATCTTTGATGATTCAACATATCATGATATAAAGCTTAAACATTTCATATTTTCAAATTAGGAAAATTACAAATTTAGAGAAAACGAAGCCTTTTTTGGGGAGACATATACAATACAATACAATACAATACAATTTTATTTAGGTAAGGTACATACATACAATAAATATTTACAAGGATTGTTTGACTTATAGGTAGAGCTAGTACATACAATGCCTAAAGCCACTATTACGCAAAGCGTAATCTAGGAATATCTAGGAATATCTAGGAATATCTAGGAATATCTAGGAATATCTAGGAATATCTAGGAATATCTAGGAATATCTAGGAATATCTAGGAATATCTAGGAATATCTAGGAATATCTAGGAATATCTAGGAATATCTAGGAATATCTAGGAATATCTAGGAATATCTAGGAATATCTAGTATATCTAATAGGAATAAATATCTAGGAATCTTTACGAAACTTTACTCCTGTGAATTTAATTTTATTTGTTCATATTTGTAACATTAGTGCTCCAGTAAACAAGCAAACACGTGTGTCCAAGGAATGGTTGGGGAACGTGTGATTGGCTTGTTTGGACAAACAAGGCCTGTTTGTTTTCCACTTTCCTAAAGATTCTCTGCATTAATTCGCTCTGTTTCGTGCTTTGTTGTGTCAGCTCGGGAAGGTATTACGATAGCGTGCGAAGCATTGTGAATTGAGAAATGCAATATACATATATAAATGTTTTCGTACCTGTTAAACGTTAAAATAATATATAATTACCAATGTTAACCAATTTCATGATTATCATTTAGTGAATAAGCTTATTACATTAGTCATATGTTCTAATTATCGGTCTGCTGTTAGGTTTTGCGGTGGGATCGAACTGCCTTTTCCAGTATTAATGGTTGCGTCTTACAGATATAGTGGTGGATCTGAGCACTAATGCTTGCCTCTACGTCAACCAGTTGAGGTTGTGTTTTAAGCCATTGTGTTGTTATTGAGAAGCTGGTATATGGGAATCTTAAGATATCTGGGAATCTTGAGATATCTAGGAATCTTGAGGTATCTGGGAATCTTGAGATATCTGGGAATCTTGAGATATCTGGGAATCTTGAGATATCTGGGAATCTTGAGATATCTGGGAATCTTAAGGTATCTGGGAATCTTGAGATATCTGGGAATCTTGAGGTATCTGGGAATCTTGAGGTATCTGGGAATCTTGAGATATCTGGGAATCTTGAGATATCTGGGAATCTTGAGATATCTGGGAATCTTGAGATATCTGGGAATCTTAAGATATCTGGGAATCTTAAGGTATCTGAGAATCTTGAGATATCTAAGAATCTTGAGATATCTGGGAATCTTAAGATATCTGGGAATCTTGAGATATCTGGGAATCTTAAGGTATCTGGGAATCTTAAGATATCTGGGAATCTTAAGGTATCTGAGAATCTTGAGATATCTAAGAATCTTGAGATATCTGGGAATCCTGAGGTATCTGGGAATCTTGAGGTATCTGGGAATCCTGAGGTATCTGGGAATCTTGAGATATCTGGGAATCCTGAGATATCTTAGAATCTTGAGGTAAAAGCTAATGTTTAAACAAACAGTTTCTCTGGGTGTATGTTTGTGTAAGTGGAAATCATATCTCTCTCTCTCTCCCTCTATTAAT